TTCACTCCCCAGTACCTTCATTAACGTTAAGTACATAAATAAATAAACAAACCTAATTACCTCCCTCCAAAACAAAAACAAACAAGACCCAAATATTTAAAAAAAGAATTATTTAAAAGAAAAACAAAGAAAAGTGAATGACTACTGATGTGGCAAAATGGGGTAGTGGCGTGGGCAGGAAGCCGAGGGGCTGAAGGGGAGACCAGTGGCCCCCAAGGTGGGCCCCCAGCTGCTGATGCTTCACGAGCAAAGAGGGCAGAAACCTGGGTGGGGTTGTGACAAAGATCAGGGGCCTCCTGGCTATTGCCTAGGTGATGAGTTGGGGGAATCTGAGTAGAATCCTGGTGTCTTGGACTTCACTGCAAGCAAGCGATGCTTGCTGAGGGCCTACTGTGAGTCGGGCACCAGGGATGCAAGAATGAGAAAGCCAGGATGTCACTGTGATAAAGGGTCCCCAGGGCCCTAAACCAGCCTGGTGCACCAGGGCTAAATCAGAGACATGCTGATTATGCAGACAGTACTTTATTTTTTTTCTGCCTTATGCAACGTGCTTGTAATAGTTCCCCCCCAAATGGTATTCATATGACTATTAATAATGAGATTATTGATTATGGATTTATAATTACTGGGGATTTAAAAAAATTGCATACAATATACCCTGCTAGGGATGTACAGTCAGCAAACTGCTGTCAAGTCACGTGACGTGGTGCTGTTCTCTGAGTGACCAGGCACTGACTTGACGTTAAGCTAGGCCCGTTCGTTTCTGCTTATTTTCAATGATTAGAGCTTTTTTATGGTTTTTCCTTTATTGATTTAATTGTTTTCTTTTATTAATCAGGCAAAGGACGGTTGTACATGGTTTCAAAAATCACAGAACATAATTTAGAAAATTCATTTCTATTCCTGTGCCCTCTCTTTTCCCTTCTTCTTATATGGAGGTAACCATTCTTACTTGTTTTCTCATGCTGCTGTTTCTTTTTTGAAAAATATAAGCAGTACACATGTATTTCTATCCCCTCCTCCATTCCTACACAAATGGTAGCATTCTACAAACACTGTTCATGTAACAGCGCTGCATCGTGTCCCGCAGATGACTACGCATCGCAGTACCGGAGTCTGTGGGCGCCCCGCCCCACTTGCCTTCCCCGGCTTTGCAGGAGCTGCTGGAATCTGGCTTTGGAGGCCCCTACACTGCTGCTTTGAGCCTGAGAGACTGTGGCCTTGCCTGTTTTGTGTCCTTCTCCCTTTGCCAAGCGCCTGCTGGGTTTCTCTGCCTACTGAGCTTGGGAACAAGTTGGGCTCTCAGGACCAGGGGTCTCAGTGGGAGCTGATGTGCCTGGAGTAGCAGCTCTTAAAGGGTCAAACGTCCCTGGAATTTTGGCTGGTGAGAAAGTCAGAACAGGTGTCTTCAAGAGAAACATCCTGACTCCAGAAGCCGGACTGGGGTCTATGCTAGGGAGAGGGGACTTCAATTCCTAGGGCTTCCAAATCATCACCTTTTGACTTGGATTTGGGAACCCTCTGGGGATGGAGACAATGGGACT